ATGCTAAAGAAAGGAACATGAGCTTGTAAACGCACCCATAAAATGGCTATTGTGTGTGGTTTGCATACACATACAGGGGCAGCCATGGAAACATAATCAGCATCTGCTTTACCAGGCCAACTGGCAGGGATGATTCTGGCCATCATTTCCTAGCATTTCCCGTAAAATGTTCCTTGTTCACCTCCCCTTCTTTTATTTGTGTTTTTTTTTTTCTGGGTCTGCCTCAAAAGCACTGGCTTGAAGTGATTCTTTATTTTCATTTTCTAAAAATGACTCTGACCCCCTGATTTGGAAATAAGGCCAATACTGGAAGCTGGCATTTTTCTTTGCAGGATGCCAATTTCTCTTGGAAAAAAAAATTAAACAAAACAACTGGATAGATCAGAAAGGTCCACATTAAAAAAAATGAAGGGCAAAGCCAGATTCTGTGGTTAAAAAAATGGAATTAATTGTATTCCTTCCTGTACTTTTTAGAATATTGCTCAAAATACAGAGGAATGTAATATCTCACCTCAAATAATAACAGGTAAGACATAACCAATTTCTATATGTTGTTTATGTAGAAAATTTAAATGCAAATTGGTCAATGAAGGAGTTGTAATAAAAATCAGGTATCCAGATGGTAGAGGAATGAGGCATATGCCAGTTCTATTTAAGGGCTTCTTCAGGGCTGAGAGAAAAGCATGAATTGTTTCAGATTATACCTACCTCTTTTATTACAGTTAGTCAACCATTGTTATTTAATGCTGTTGTAGCATATTGTGCCAAAAGTAGCTTGCAACAAGAAAAATGAGTAGATATTTCCCTGGGAGCATCCATTTGGGAACTGTTTTAATCCCAACAGATCTGGCAACCAGGTAGAGCAAGGCTAAACTGTAATTGATGAATTAATTAACGCAATTAATGAAATAGTTTACATATACCTATATTTTAATGCAATTGATGGTCCTAAAAAGTGCTTCTATATTGGAGGACACTCTGAATTATAAAGTAGCCAACCCCAGTTTAGCACATCTGTATAACGTTGTCCATGGGGTCGCGATGGGCTGGACATGACTTCACAATTAACAGCAACAATAAATAAATGGAGGGGAAGTTAAACATGGCTTAATGTGTCTCATGAACACAATCTTTGTTTGAAGTTAATACTTCAGCTGGGGAGGAAGTATATAGTATCATTGGCCTGAAGCCCAAAATGGACAGGCGAGTGAGTGGCTGAGTATGAACCGTCAAAAAAGAGGAGGTACAACAATTAAACAAGGCATAGTGGGTTATACCCTATGGAAGAATAAAATGACCTTGGTTAGCTTACCTGGAGAGGATGCCTTGTAATTCCATACTGTAGAAGGCATATACAAAAAGAGGAGAAGGTCAAAGAACGCGAGGCAGATCCAGAAGAAGATGGAGAAACAACATCAAAGACAAGCTACAACACGATCAAATGACAATGGCTGCCAGAAGAGCTAGAACCAGACCTTTATATCTCTCTCAACACCTGAAGTGGTAAAAGAAGAAGAAGAAAAAGACATTTATATCTCCTTTTAAAAACTGTGTTAAGTGTCCTTGAGATGCTTCATATATTTACACAAAAACAGTTTTCAAGAGGTTGTAGGGGTAGTGAGCATATCAAGCTTCGGTCTTCAATACAGTATTTGAATGCCTTTTCATTTTTGGCTGCAGGGTCTTCCTTATCATACAGATAATGGTGACTGAATCTGTTTGGCCTAGTGGTCAAGGCAGCAGGCTAGAAACTGAGAGATTGTGCCTTCTAGTGCCACCTTAGCCATGAAAGCCAGCTGAGTGACTTTAGGCCAGTCACTGCCTCTCAGCCCAATCCAGCTTCACAAGGTTGTTGTTGTGGGGAAAATAGAAGGGTGTGTTGGATATGTTTGCTCAAATTATTTGTAAAAATAATAAAGGCAGGATATAAATAAAAATCAGTAACCAGCAAATTGTTGTTGGGCCTATTGGAAAGTGTAAAGTCTTTCACAGATGCTGAAGCTCGTTAAAAACAGTGGGCCCTCTATCCCAAGTCATCTAGTGGTAAGGGTCTCCAACTCCCGGGCCACGGATCAGTATTGATCCATGGCTGGTTAGGAACTGGGCTGCATAACTGGGGATGATAGGAGGGCAAGTGAGTGAAGCTTCATTTGTATTTGTAGCCACTCCCTAGCACTAGCATCACCATCTCAGCTCCACCTCAGATCATCAGTCATTAGCTACTGATAGGCACATGAATTCTACTGTAAATTGCACACTTGAGGGATATAGGTTGCACACTCTTCCTCTGTGCTGCGCCCCCCCCCCCGGTTCTGTGGAAAAATTGTCTTCCGTGAAACAGGTCCCTGGTGCCAAAAAGGTTGGGGATCACTGATTTAGGCTGTATAAAATTGGCAAGAGTTATTTTTCAATACATTTATCAGTTTCAAAACTCTTATATTTCAGGAATGGTGTGACATTCTTTCATAAGGAATAGAATCATCCAGTATCTTGATTTTTCCAGAAAGCCTGGCTTAATGACATTGTGCTTCTTTTGGAAAATTAAGAAAAAGGCTTTTGCATTAAAAAAAAAAAAGTTGCTTCTTTTGCCACTGATTCATTCAACAAAAACAACAAAAAAATGATTTGGTTTAAACACTATAGTGTTTTTTGAGTAGTAGCAAATATTTTCTTGCCATGTGCCCTTTCCATTAATACAATATTGTAAAGTCTGAATTACTAGTGTTTTTGATTGGTTTTCCCCAAGAGATTTTAAAAGAAAATTAAAGATACTCCCTTCAAAAGCAAACCAAGTGGTTTAAAAGGTGCCTCACGCCTGGATTTGTGGGAAAAAAAGAGAATAATTAATCAACAATTAGGCAATTCTATGCCTAATTAGGCAATTCTATGCTCAATGAACCCCGACTGTTCTTTAGAAGGCCAGATCCTGAAGTTGAAACTCAAATCCTTTGGCCACCTAATGAGAAAGAAGGACTCACTGGAGAAGGGCCTAATGCTGGGAAAGATTGAGGGCAATAGAAGAATGGGACAACAGAGAATGAGGTGGCTGGATGGAGTCACTGAAGCAGTAGGCGTGAGCTTAAATGGACTCCAGAAGATGGTAGAGGACAGGAAGGCCTGGAGGAACGTTGTCCATGGGGTCACGATGGTTCGGACACGACTTTGCAATTAACAACAACAATGCCTAATGAAACTGAAGTGAAGCCTCTCTACACGTATAAGATCAAACCTCTTAGGTAAATCTACCAATCAATTAAAGGATCCTAAAAAATGCAACTTTCATAAAATACTTTTCCTCTTATTATAAGAATGTTGAATCAAATTGCTCTTCCTCCTTTGTTTTAAATGGAATGGGTCTGTTCCCTGGCTAATGCAGCCATGAGCCAAGAACTCCCATTAAGAAGCATAAGTAATGAATCCAATGGCAGCTGTTAGGAGCTGTGCTCTTTTCATCTCAGACAGCAAAAGACTTAACAGTACAATAGGTACAAGGAAGTGCCAGAAATATATTGCCCAGCAGATCTCTTCTATTTATGAAACCCCCTTCTGAACATAACAGGCGTCAGACATCCATCTTTCCCTGTTGTAACAAATCATGTGGTCTGGAATGTGGTAGCTGAAAGCTGAATTCTTTATTGACACAGGAAGATAAACAGAACCCAGCAACCCGTCCCAAGAGGAGATGGTACCCTGCTTCAGAGAAGAATTCCTCTCTCCCTCCCCCTTCCCCCCCCCTTCATCAAGCAAACACCAAGGGTCCTTCTCATCCTCAAGACTTATACGAGGTGAAATCTGGAGTCCAGAGGCATTCCCAGGAAGTCCAAGGGATTAGTGAAGTTTCAAATAGCTGAACCACAAATTCTGAAGTTTCAAATTGCTGAAAGCACCCAGTGTTTCCTTGAATCTAAGTTAAAGTTTCACATATGCAACAGTTCAGAACGGGGTGTTTTGACGTCCTTTTTATTCAGCTCAGAATGAAAGGAATATCTAGCACGTAAAATATCTCAGAATTCAGCTTCAGAAAAAGAGGCAATTCCCGTTTCCCCCCCCCCCCAGGTATTTTTACACATCAGGACCACAATTTCATGGTGTCCTTCTTTGCCCTCCTCTTCTCTTATGGCTTTTCTTTCTTTCTTCTTCTTCCTGTCTCTTTAGCTCAGGGACAGGAGATTTGTTTCAATTTGAATGAGGGCAAAAATGGAGAGCTGTTTAAAATAAACAGAAGCCTATGGCTTAGGATCATCCATTTATTTAGGAAATGTATTCACTATCTTAATCCAACTGTATTCTAGACAGCCTACCTGTATAGAGAATAATGCATACTAATACATATTATATATAGAAAATAATATATACTATAATGTATATAGTATATACTATATAACAATATATATTCTAATAACAATAGCACAATACTATAAATAGACAAAATATAACTGCAAAAAGACCTTAAACTCATATGGTTCCAGATGGAGAAGTCTCCATAATCAGTATTTTATCTGGAATTATTATATTTTTATCCTGCCTCTAATATTGGAATGGAAGCCTGGTAATATTGGGTCTAAGTCAAGAAACCAAGAGAATAAAAAAAGATGCTATTAAGAAAGAACCAAATTTATACACTTCTGTGTGACTTCTGGTTTGTAGAGGCATTCCCAGACTTTTTGTATAAATCCAAATTGCATAACTTTTGTGCCAATTTCATTTCTCTTGTGGGAATGTAGTAGTATACAAAGAGTACCTCTTTGGATTTCAATTATCTCATCATCCCAAATAATTCTCCGGAGTTAAAAGGATAAAGTTATTTGCTTACTAAGTGGAATCCTGAAGGTGACAATCTCAAAAGAATACTGGGAATATTAACTGAAGTGGAAAGGATTCCAAATCGTGTTTGACACAGCAAATTACCTTATAAATCCTCAATATCAAATCCCCTGTCCCTCAGTTTAGTCTCATCAACTTTATTGCTAGTAATTGAAATAAAATGCCCAAACTATTAAAACAGTTTAAAAACATTTTAAAGTTTATTTTAAATGATTGCAGCTAAAACACAGCAAAACCTAATAAAGCTCATTTTAATCATTATTCTACAAAACTGCAAAATACAGAAACGGCTGAAGTATTTTATAGTTAAAAATAATAATAAAAAGGGACAAAAATATGATCTACAGGAGGAACAAAGCAAAAGCCCCTTTGATTAAAATGGAATCTTTAACTCTTTGGAGCAGATACATTTAGAATTTTGAAAAAGGCTCTCTCTAAAATATCTATAGAATGGCTGCTATAGTGTGCAAAGCCAGTCACAAGAAACCCAATTTACAGCAATGATGCTGAAAATAAGCAAATTGATTTTTCGTTCTACACATTTACACACTCATTCACTTGCCCTTTATTTCTGTCACATGAGATCCATTCACCTGTGTTATGTGTGCCTCTCCCATGTTGACTTAATCAGGCACAAATATAAGGGAATATAAATCTGTGTAAATTAACCCCTGAAAAGCTTATCACCACATTTTTGGCTGCAACTGTATGGAAAAGCCCCTGCAGTTTTCTTGACAAGATTTCAGAAGTGGTTTGCCATTACCTATTTCCTAAGGCACAGAGAGAGGGACTGGCCCAAGGTCATCCATGCTTAGGCAGCACTAGAACTCACAGCCTCCTTGTTTCTAGCCTGGTGCCTTAACCACTAGACCAAACTGATTATTAAAAATTACTATGCTAATATATAGTACATTCATATTTCATTTCCGTTGTCTTATCATCTTCTCCCATGAAATGTCAGTTATAATACATGATGGTACATCTATAAGACATTAGGTCTTAGTACCTCTAACATTTTAAATTACAATTATATAGGGGCAAATAATACTAGCAAAAAATAATGGAATTGAATGCATATTTATTTAGATACTATTTTAATCAAGAAAAGATCACAGGTGTGGGAAAAATGCTGTCATTCAAGGATAACAAGGATGAGGAATCTACACCTTTCGAGCAACTGGATTCCATAAGCTCCAGCCACATGTGCAATGGAACTGGAATGCAGTCACTGGAGGCCAGTGTTCTATATTTAAGATTTAAAGAACCAGAAAACATCTTCCTCCCTTCCTTCTCAGCATGTATGGATAATTCTTGCTTCTCCTCCTCTCCACTGTAATCACTAGTGAAAAACCAATCGGGAGGAACAGACGGGAAAACATTGTTCCATGTTTGTGTCAAAATATATATCGGTGATTGAATATCGACAGAAACCCTTGGAGAGGAGGAGCCTTTCCAGAAAGTTTGTCTAAGACAATTAACACCAATGAAAGTCTACAACATATTGTGAAACAGCTGGCACAAGAATTCATATATCTCTAAGAACAAGCTTTCAGAGACATTCTATTTCCACAAGCTCTTTTGAAAGCAGGACATGCTTTGAGTTTTGGTTAGTTTTCCTTCTCTGGTGCTCCAGAGTGCAAAGGATAAACATTATTTCTAAAAGAATACACTTCCCACAAATGATTTGTGTTGTTGCAGTAGGCAGCTCTTTAGAACAATGAATTCCACTGACTGGAAGGCTGCAGAGGACAGTGACTCAGAGTTGACAGGAGTGGTGTGCAAAAGGGAGCAGTAAGCAGCAAACTGGACTGTGCTCCAAAGTTTGATACGTTAGAACACTAGAGACTTCTATTATGTAATTAATTGCCCTATTCATGGAATAGTATGAGGGTTCCATCTGACATAATCTTTCATTTATAATTTTGCCCTTTTCCACCATCACCTCCCCCAAATGGTGATGGAGGAGAAGATAATAGCAGAACATTGATTTTTTGATCAGAAAGTGAAAAGCCATCCATCTTGATGCCAAAGGCTGGTGCTTTGGTTCGCACTATGCCCACTTCCTCTTTATTTTTATTAAAGGAATCAGGCAGGAGGTTCTAAGAGAGGACCATCGCCTCTGGCTCTTCTATGCAGTCCAGAAAAAGCTTCTGGTTTCCTTTCATTCCCTTCCACCAGTTAATTTATGGAACAAGTCTTCATCCAGCGTCTCATTTTGGTCTTTGGAACGGGTTGACAGGAAAATATAGCCGCCAATGTATTCGTGAACCACCTTGCAATTGGCACTCAGGCAAGCAAACGCAATAGAAACATTCTGATCGAACTCAATGGCCACCTGAAGGGGAAAGACAAAGATGCCAAAGCAATTGAAATACCAAGAATGTAAATGCTGTGGTGGCAATTTTCTTACCGCTCGATATTCACCTGAGGCACAAACATCTTAAGGTTAAATTTGGTATACTCCTAGGACACTGCTTCTCAACCTCAGCAACTTTAACATGTGTGGACCCAAACTCTCGGAATTCCCCTAACCAGCATTCTGGGAGTTGTTCCACCTGTCTTTAATGCTGCTGAGATTGAGAAATACTGACCTGTCCTAATGGCTCACTTTTTAAAATATTGTGTTCCAGGGAAAGCATTCCTTTTTCATTTTCCACCAAGCATAAGAAGTAGCAGAAAAGCGAAGCTGCTTAAACCCATTCCCTGTTGGGCCTGCTGACTTAAAACTTCCCTCCTTCAGTCTTTCGACACTTTTCGGGAAATATTTTTTTTTTCCTCTGCAGGGAGAAAAGTCAGCTTTGAAAGGATAATTTTGAGTGGACTCATGACAGGTCGCCCTAGGGTTGTTCATATACCTGCTGTAACCAGGTACATCACAAATCATCACAGAAACATACATTTTAAAAGGAAAAGGCATCATAGGCCTTTTTCTTTTAAAATGTCTGTTTCTGTGATGATTTCCCCTTCGATATTGGCAACTTTTCCTGCAATATTGCAACTCAATAGATAAAAATCAAACCTTGGGGATCCTGTGTATGCCTTGTCTCTATTATGCCTAGTTTCATCCTAATTGCAAACATAAGCTTTATTTTGAAACTTTCTCCTAAGCGCAGATACATTTTTACTCACAGCAATAATGAGAAAGCATTTTTAGATCATATGGGGAACCCACGGAGACCATTTCCATGTATTAATGGAGATGCCAATTCGGAGCATATTGCTGATCATAAGCAGTCACATATGGGCTGGGTGATGGAAAATTCTTCTTGAAAATCAGATAAGAAGCATTTTCTGTCAGCAGAGCCCCTTCTCAACCAATAAAACAGTTGGAAAAGGTTGTGATCTGGGAAGGAGAATATGTGTTTCCCCCCATCCTATTTCATTTTCTAGATCCAACTTGTTCTCTTCTTTGCTTTCTTCCGCTGGCAGTAAACAGGTTCTTTTGCAATTCTTCAGTCAACTATTTCTCAGGCGAAGAAATTTTAGTCAAGTAGCAACAGAGCAGAAATGGTTGCCCTCCAGGAAACAGTTCATTTTACCTGCCGTATCTCCCAGTTCACGTTCCATTGTTTCATATTTGAATACCTCCAGGTTGTAATTGGGTCCCCAGTAGTAATGTCTATCCTAATCAACCTGTTATAAGAAATCCCCAAGAGATCATCCTTCTTGCTTCCTTTAAATCTAAGGGAAAGAAGAAGAAGAGAAAAACCCAACCAATTGCTTCTATTTCTCCAAGCAATGATCCCCATGTGCATTAGTTACTCTCAGACTGAGCAGCAGGAGAAAAGAATTAGAAGTAGTCCTTGACCTACATCCACTCATTTAGCAATTGTTTGAAATGACAAGAGCGCTGAAAAAAAAAATGACTTAAATCCGGTCCTCCTTACAGCATTCCCATTGTCATGCGATCAAAATTTGGGTGCTTGGCAGCTGGTATTTATTTTTCTACGGTTGCAGCATCCCAGGTCATGGGATGGCTGTTTGAGACATTCCCAGCTGGTTTCTGTCCAGCAAAGTCAACCGGGGAAGCTGGATTTGCTTAATAACTACATAATTCACTTAACAACTGCAGAGATTAACAACCGGTGCAAAAAGGTTCGTAAAATCAGGTGGAATTCACTTAACAGCTGCCTTGCTTAGGAACAGAAATTCAAGTACCAATTGTGGTTGTAAGTCAAGGACTATCTATATATTATCCTTTTCATAAAACCAGTGAATTAAAACAGCAGGGAGTGATTTGATTTTGGGGCATGTTCTATTCAAACTCTTGATTCCCCTTCTCACTCCCAAATCACTACTTTTGAGTTCATCTATTATGTGCATCATATCAACAACCTAAGACATGCAGATGATACCACTCTAATGGCAGAAAGTAAAGAGAAACTAAAGAGCCTCTTGATGCGGGTGAAGAAGGAAAGTGCAAAAGTTGGCTTGAAACTCAACATTAAGAAAACCAAAATCATGGCATCTGGCCCTCTCAATTCCTGGCAAATAGACGGGGAAGAAATGGAGGTAGTGACAGATTTTATTTTCCTGAGCTCCAAGATCACCTCAGATGGGGACTGCAGCCAAGAAATTAAAAGACGCTTGCTCCTGGGGAGAAAAGCTATGGCAAATCTAGACAGCATACTAAAAAGCAGAGACATCACTCTGCCAACAAAAGTGCGTATAGTCAAGGCCATGGTTTTCCCAGTTGCAATGTATGGCTGTGAAAGTTGGACCATAAGAAAGGCTGAATGCCAGAGAATTGAGGCCTTTGAACTATGGTGCTGGAGAAGACTGGACTGCAAGGCGTTCAAACCGGTCAGTCCTAGAGGAGATCAACCCTGACTGCTCTTTAGAAGGCCAGATCCTGAAGTTGAAACTCAAATACTTTGGCCACCTAATGAGAAGGAAGGACTCACTGGAGAAGAGCCTAATGCTGGGAAAGATTGAGGGCAACAGAAGAAAGGGACGACAGAGAATGAGGTGGCTGGATGGACTCACTGAAGCAGTAGGCGTGAGCTTAAATGGACTCCAGAAGATGGTAGAAGACAGGAAGGCCTGGAGGAACGTTGTCCATGGGGTCACGATGGGTCGGATATGACTTCGCAATTAACAACAAGAAATTATGTGCATTTTCTTATACCCCTTTTGCTAATGTACATGTTTGTGTGTTTGGGCATTTCTAGGCATTTTCTTTTAGATGGCAATGGCATTTTGGTTTGCATATCAGTTCAGGAAACACAAATATTATTAAGTTAGCATCTAAATGCAAATCTGCACTAGTGGAAAGGACTGATTATAGTGCCATCCCAGTGGAAGCTACTGCTGAGATGGAAAAACGGATGGAGCAGGGAAGGGTGCAGTCCTCTCCATCATCGTGGCAAGATGGTGCACAACAGGTTATAGGGCATAGCAGAGGGAACCTCCTTCTCTTCCTTCAAAGGGATACTGTAGAAAGTTATATTTCCCTTCATTACAAACCAACAACCAATAAGGAGCTAAAAATGGCTTCAAGCAAAAAAGAGAGAATCCAAGCGTTTATTGCTGACTTCACATCATAGACTGTGCTTCCCTCTAGTGGCCAAACCTAGAACTACTAAACATACTTAGGGGAAAATACCTAAGCAGATAACTTGCAGAGTAGGCTTTTTGACTTCTGCACTGCCTTAAAAAAGTTGATCCAGATGACATTATGTTATGCTGGTTAACCCTGAAGGGCCAGGTTGAGAGAGACCATCCTGAAGAAGATCTATTCATGTGGTTATTAAGAGCTGTCGCTGATTTGATGGCACATAATCAAACACTGTCAATAAGTCTGGGTTAGATGTTGGCAGAATAACCTGAAAATTATGGGGAAGCTGTCAATAAATAATTCCAAAATAGGTGTGCATGTAAGTATTTGTAAATCTGTAACACCAAATGCTAGGAACGGAGAATTCCAGTGTTCAATAGATTCAAGCATTTTTGCTGACATAATCAGATTTATTAATCATCTTTTCATGTTCTAAAATAATCTCCAAAGAAATGGTCATTGCCTGCTATTGAAAAGCAGAATATATATTTTTAAAAAGGCCACAAAGCAGGTATTGCAGCCCTGATTACTCCCCTAAAGATACCAAGAGCAATGTTGGAAGAGACTACATCAGGGGTCTTCAAACCATGCTGGCTGAGGAATTCTGGGAGTTGAAGTCCACAAGTCATGAAAGGGCCAAGTTTGAAGACCCCTGGACTATATTGTATATAAGCCAAAGCAAGAGTTACAAATAGTCTTTGGATTGGGACCATTTGTTTAGCAACCATTCAGGGTAATGAAGGTGCTGAAAAAGTGGACTTATAACTGGCCCTTGGAGTTCCAGTTGTTGCAGTATCCCCATGGTCATGTGATCATGGCTGAGATGAAGACGCCACTATATTCTGTCACCACCAGCAGTGGATCTTCCTCCTGGTTCTTCTCCTTGACACATCCATCTTCTTCCTCTTCTCAGCACTGGCTCCCTCCCCCACCCCTCTGGGCTTTCCAACATTCTCTGGCCTTCAGGCCTACAGAGCAGAGTTCTGTCAGTGTTGGCCTCAGAGGGAGGGATGAGGGATGGGGCAAGCCCAGTTCCAACAGAGGCCCAATGGGGCTTGAGGATGGCCAGGGTTGGTGAGTCCCATGGAAGAAAGGCGAGGCAAAAATGAAGAGAAGGAGGAAGACAACAATGGTGCTCAAGAGGACAGAGGAATGTCCTCTGGGAGTGGTGGCAGCAGAATACAGAGGTGTCTTCATCTCAACCATGTTGCGTAGGGTGGCCAAAAGGGTGGTGGGAGATAAGTGTGTGTGGTGTGGGGGGGAGATAGTCCATGCAGGGCAGGGGAAGCAAGCCAGCCTTTTCTGGCTCAGTGATCCCCTGAAAACATCCTTAGCTTTGGAAGAATCGAGGCTCGTGTCTGGGAGGGACCAAGCCAGGGATGGCTTGAATCTTTTGGGAGGCAGGAGACTTGATTGCCAGCTGGTTTCTAAGCAAAAAACAAAACAAAACAATGGGGAATTCACGCAGAGGTCACAGGTTGTGGTCATGTAAGGTCCTTGTTTAATGACTGTCTGCTCCTCACTAACAACTGCATCTGGGACTGCTGGAATTGCCTTTGCTAAGCAGCACAGTCACAGGATGTTTCATTTAATGATGGTTTTGCTTAGTTAGAAATTCCAGCCTCAACTAAAGTCACAATTTAGGACTACTCTACCTGTACACAGAACAATGACTTTAAGAAGATTTCCACACCAGAACTCTAAAATGTATTTCATCCCCCCCAAAAGACCATTTCTGTAGTCAAAACAAAAATAGTTAAAAGGGTTCTAAGCAGTACTCTTCCATAAAAATTTAGGGGCAGAGGAACATAAGACTTACCTTACAACATAATAGGATAAGCCGAATTCTGGAAGTGATTGCCATGCCTGGATAAATCTCAGTTTAGCTTCCATAAGAGACAGATGAATGATGTTGTGGTGGGCTTCTAGAATGCGAGATGCTAGCTAGGGAAACATGGAAAACAAAACACAGGTTTAACCAAAATAGAAATGAACAAGCAGCATTCAAATAGTCAAAAAGCATGGACCACGTACCTTTGCTACTTTACTAATCTGCCATTTTAAGGAAGCAAACCAAATACTGAGTACAGAGACACAATGTCAATAGAGGATGTGAAAATGTTGGCAACTCCATCTGTATGGACACCCTTTATTTTGGCTCTTCATCTCCTCCTTTCTTTCCACAACGGCACCTCTGTAACTTGGGGGACAAGCAGCTGTGACTTTTGATCAATTCTGTAAAATGCTGCTGTACTGACATATATATTTTTTTTAGATTCTGAATTGGGAATTTCTGGGGTAAATTACAGGATTATTTTTTTCCTCAGCTCCTGCTAGACAGGATCTTTTTGGTTGAAGAAGCTGAAGATGAGAACTTCTAAATATGAAACTTCTGAACATGGAAGAGTTTAACAGTATACCTTCTTTTACTACCTTATTGCAGATGCAAAAACTCAGAAGAACTACACAGAATCAATACACTGAGATAAAGGAAAAACAATTTTGGGGAGAATTCCCATCTCACAAATTTAAGTCCAAACCTATATTATAGGTTTATGGTGACTCTTAGATTTTATTTGTAGAACTCCTAGATTTTGCTGTAAGAAAAATACTCCTTGAAATCCACTTTTTGACCTATTAAACAAGAATTCTCTTATCAATTAGACCTGAGTCAGTTTGAGGATGCTCCCTGCAATTTGCCCAAGATCCAGCTGTCCCTGTATTTTCTTTGGCTCCCCATTTACCTGCTTAGATTTATATTTCTTAGCATATCGTGGTGAGATGAAGCATTCTGGTTTCAGGTCCATGCTTTCTACATCCGAAACTTCTTGGGGTGCAGCTGTTCTGCTTTTCATTTTCAAGAGTGAGAGGATGTTATGCACCTCAGATTGGTAAGAACTGTCTGCCATTGTTTTCCCTTTGGAAGCCAGTGCACAAGCAGCCATCCATCTGGCATACTGCTCTTCCTGCAACGAACAGTCCATTGAGAGATATTAAGGAAAAAAAAAATCTGGCACCAATTTCTACTTGCATTGTTTAGCTGCAATCATTTGAAACACTTTGGTTAACTTCAACACAGGCTTCTATTCAGAAAGCATCCCATAGACAACAACACTTCATCAGCATGATTTATTTGTTTATTAAATAAATCACATCTCTTCTTCAGACATTCAAGGGAGCAGCTTTTAAAGAGCCAATAGGAAGGGGATGAACTGGTTTCTTACTTCTGCACTTATGTTTGGGTGTGAGAACAAAAATGACCAGAGTATTTTTCATCTGTTAGCAAGCAGGCAAGTCCTAAGCTAGAAAAGAAATGTTTGCAACATTTAAGAGGAAGATCAAATGTTTAAGGAAGTTGCAGAGAACAAAAAGGAGTTGCGAAAGCTCATCAAAGCTTGATTTTCATGTTCTTTTAGTGTTTGATTTGAATGCATTTTCAATTCCCTCCAGGGGGTGGGTGGGTCATGCAGTACTACAGGACTAAACTAAAGTGACACTAAATGCATCATTTATGAGCCTTTGTATACTGATACAAATACAAGCAGACAGCAGTAAGAAGGCAAGAATTTCCTCTCCTCTTTCTCTGTTCCAGAAATAAAATCTTCTTGCACAAAAGGAAATTTCCCTTCTAGAATTGAGGCAAGCTCTGACACAAGGCGGGGAATGTTCTTCAAGATCGTGGGGAAAAAAGTATCAGCAATGGGAAGCCTCTTATGAACGTTTTGCTAAAAAAAAAAAATAGAAAAATGAGCTTGTGATTTATGGGTGTGAAAATCATAAAAGGGTAGTTTACGGAAAGAAGGAAATTATGATGTAACTTTAGAAAGAGATAGCAAATAAAAATATATTATGACTGCTGCCAAGAAGATTAGAAGCTGTTCTTTATCATCTTTTTCTTTTCTTTTCTTTCTTTAGTAAACTTATATGTCACCCATCTCACCTAGAGGCGACTCTAGATGGATTATAACCAATAAAAACAACGAAATGACATATTAAAACAATAAATATTATCACTAAAAACTGACTTAAAAATGAACAAAGATGGCAAGGAAGTGATCAAGATGCACACAAGGAGGAGGTGGGAGTCTTAGGCCATTAACCACCTCCAGTGTGACATGCCACCATGAGGGCCCACGTCAACTGGCAGAGCCAGGTCTTCAGGGCCCTTGAGAAGGCCAAAAGAGTGAGCGTGGATCTCACCTAACCTCACCTTTTCTATTTCTTTTTCCACTAATTACATTTTCTTTATTATTATCTTTATATTATCTGTATAAAATATATGTATAGAAAACACTGAACCCTTTTTTCCCCTCCCCACTGACATACCAGAACTCTTAGATCACCTTTGTCCTTTAATTTCCCTCCGCCCCACCATCCATCTTAGGGGAGCCCGAGGAAATCCCAGGGCTATAGGCCACACAAAATATAGCCCAAATAAAGCAAAGGCAAAACTACACTGTGGCTGAGAAAGTCTGTCCATGGAACTGTCCGATGTTAATGACTTTAGGGAGGCAAACTGAGTTTCATAAGAGTTCTTCAGCCTGGAAGGTCATATGAGGCAAAGAACAAATACTGACAAATTTACAGAATTGTTTGGAAAAGCAGTTCTTGACACAGACCTTTAGACAAAAATCCCCTCTCACAAATAGAGGCAGGCGGGGGGATATACATGCAAAGCAACCTGGGGCTTGGTTAATTGCTTTTTTCTTTTACACAAGCCTTGTTTTATTTCCGTGCGCAAATATCTGGGAATATTTATGCACTGTGTGGGTTCACCATGGACTGAAATGCCAGCCAAGCACCTGGACCTTAATGAGGTTTCCCGAGGGGTAACGCAATGCACAAAAAGCACATCAGTGCCCCTCCTCTGTGCACACAATGGATTCATTCAGCTGTTTTGTTACTCACGTCACCACACCTCAAATGTATTTCATTCATTCCATCAGCAACTGGGATGAGTAATTTAATCCCATATTTTTTCCCTGACACACTTACATCTGGGACAATTTCACATCCTGAACAACAAAACAGAAGAGAATTTATATGTAAACTTATGTTTCATCTTCATTTAAGAACAATACATGAGAAAGACAGGGAGAACAAACAGCACATTAAAAAAAGGAACGCCAATTTTAAAAGGGTAAATGATTAATTAATCGCAGTATTACACCACTAAAACAGGGGTCCCCGACCCCCAGTCCATGGGGCAGTAGCAGTCCTGTTGGGAACCCAGGCCGCACAAACGGCAGGCAAGCAGGTGAAGCTCCATTTGAGCAGGTGAAACCATCCCCATCCCTCCAGTGCTGCCCTTCCTTGGACATAGAAAGGTTGGGGATCGCTGCACTAAGAGGATAAATGTCAGTAATCTTGCAGACCAAAGTAATTGTATTCTGATGTGCACCTAGTCTTACTGATACTGTTTAGGGAGACCATGATGTTTATTGATCGTCATCTGATGTATTTAAAATGATAGAGGACTGGTGCTGTGAGGACCTTTCCCCAGACAAATATAAGTGACATTGAAGCATGCAATAAGCAGATGTTCAATATGGGATTTGCAATATAAACAGAGCATTTGCACCAGTGGGGTTTCACAGCCTCTCACTGATCACTAATGTTGGCACAGAGTGAGAGCTTAGGGCAGTGAAAGCCTGGCACAATTTATGTGAAGCTATGGTAATACAATTTCTGTGGCCAGAAGTGTAAACTCAAAGGAATGTATTACTACTACTACTACTACTACAATAAAATAAAAAATAAAAATAAAAAAATGTGGCTTTGATGTTCCTCATCTTCACTCATGGCAGTGGAATCCACACTTTGATACATATTATGTGGGCAACAATGTCATGGACATTTGTCAGGAAATGAGACCGAAACACTTCTAACTATACAAAAACAAGTTGCAGTAAACACTGTGTAAAGACAGATTATCTACGGTAGGTATATGCATGCACACATGTGTACTCAGACATATAAACAGAGAACAAAAATGCTTATTGTGTTAGGAGATGTCTGTAGATGCAACAGCACTTCATAAGATGCTATATGAAATATCAGCTTCTACCTCTGAGGTTAAGCTTCTCGATTGGTTCTCCATGTTCAGCTTCTTTGTTTTTAAAGTAAGACACGGATGTGTCTTTAAAGACAAACCAATATTGCTTGAAGGCTTTCATCATCAGCTTTTTGGATCTGCAAACGAAAAATTGCTTCATCAAGTCTCTCTTCTAATGACAATATTTATCAACTTTTTAGGCCAAGTTTTATTTCTCATATATTATGAAAGTCCATGCGGTTGTCTCATCCAGAAGTATGTGTTTTCTCTATTTTACCTGCTTTATCAGAAAGGAGCAAATCATGGGGGGCTAGTAGAAACTACGGTGACCCCCCCAAAGACAAAACATGCAAAACCTGGCCTTTGAGCTTACTTCTCAGTGCAAGTAAAAGTATGGAAATTGTGGGGCTTGTATTGTAATATTGTAATGCACATTTTATCACCTGCCCCCCTCTTCTACTTCCACAAATCTCTGAATTGGAAAATATCTTGGTTATTCATTTTACATCTTCATGTACAAAGATTGTTTTCCTGAAAGATTTCAGGTAAGTCATTTGTTTCTTTATGAAAACACAAATTTGATCTTTTTTCATGCAGTTGTATTTTAATGGATTTAATTATTGAGTTTTCTTGTGGCGATATTTTAATTTTGTAAACCATCCTGGGTATGGTTCTTATATTAAGGATGGCTTATGAACATATCACATCAGTTTCCAATTCAACTGAAATGACCTTGATCTAACATCATATTGAATTTTGAGATTTATGATATTGATTGCTTTCAAAATTCAATGTAATAAAATGCAACAAAATATGCTGAAGTAATCCACATCGTTCAATATATGGGTGGTTACCATCACTCTTTTTCCTTACCTAAATAGTTTGAGGTTATCAGCAAGCTTTGGAATGTCTGTGATATCCTCCTATGGAGAACCAAGAATTATGCTAGTAACAAGGCACAGCTAGATACTTTCAGTTGCATGTCAATGATTGGCCCATATTATGGTTGCATAATTGGTGCAATATTGTTGCATAATTGTGGCATATCATGGTTGCTAATTTGCTGTTTATTTTCCCATACTTTAAGCCTAATTCAGCAATACATTGGAGATAAATTTAAAAGTTTATCTCCCAAACAAATCCACAAATCTAAATTTGGGAGCTATGAAATAGCCCAAAGCTATCTTTCCCTGAAATTATGCAATATTTTAAAAAAAGTTTTTATCTCTTAAAATCTCAGGTGAATCAGAAATTACGCACAAACTACCTTGTGCTAAAAATACCTGAAAAGGAGAACTTAGAGAAGAATGATAATGTGATAATAAGGTTCCTCTCCTCTTGGATTCAAGAGATATTGTACAATTATCCAGTTATTTTTGAACTCTAATTCTCTTTAGTCCAAGCAGATATTGATGGTTGATGTTGCAATTCATCAACTTCCAGAGGGCCATATAAGCCTCATCCTGGGCTACCAGGTAAGGTGGAAAATATGCTCATTGATAAGTCACAACCTAATTTCCTACACCCAGAATATTACCTTGACTCTGTGCCCAAATAAAGTGAATGGCATACCAATATGTTCTCTGATCTTCCCCCTTCTAATGTTATTTCAAGATTGGAAAGTGCTGCTTCCACTTCGTCAGTTTCACTTTCAACTGTGAAGTCTTGGGACCCTGATGATAAGGTCAGCTTGCTGATATGGTACTGCAGTCAAGGGAAAAGATACCCAGAGGGTATCTTGGTAAGCTTGTTGATTTCATATACAGGAAACAAACTGAGAAGTTAACAGTAATATCTTTAAAATGGAATTTATTTAGCCTTTCCAATTGATCATTATATTCTGACTCACTACATGTATAAAATGCAATGGAAGCAGATATGACTTTATTAATTATTTGATCCTCTTTTTTTTTACAATATTATGTATTTACAACATCTCAGTAATAGACTGTCATTTCTAATTTTACCCTGGGCTGCTGCATGATGTATTTATCAAAATCAAATAATTCCTGGCTGTTTACATTCTGGGAAAGGCTAAAACTATTCATACAAAAAATTAAAACAGACCAAACAACATGGCCTTGTTTTAACCCATTTCTATGCAGCAGCTGCAAAGAGAAGCAGAGAAAATCATCCTTAGGCAGGCAGCTCTTTCATCTTCCCCAGCAAGAGATGTTTTAACAGGCTTGCTAGTGATGAGGGCCTTTTGCACTCTTACTAAACAGTTGGGCTAGCGCAGGGGTAGGCAACCTTGGCTCTTTTATGACTCGTGGACTTCAACTCCCAGAATTCCTGAGCCAGCATGGCTCAGCTTGGAAACCTCTCCCTTTCCCTTCAGCATGGCTGGCTCAGGAATTCTGGGAGTTGAAGTCCACGCATTGTAACAGAGCCAAGGTTGCCTACCCCTGAGCTAGTATGTTCCTCATGCATAGAAGAGAAAGGGGCAATCCACCTGAAACAGAAACAATATATATTATTGGGCTTCTTTTTTTATTTTGCATCTCTCCCCCCTTTTGGATTCTGTTTCCAAGGTGGAATCTATGGACCCCATATCCCACTTATAGGTCTAGAGAACTTTGAGAATATGCCAGCATTTTGCAGCCAAATGTTTGTATCGTTTTCCCAGGGTTCTCATTCTAGTTTTACTTTCCTTAATCTTTCCCATTCTCTCACCTTCTCTTCTTTTTCCTCTCCCTTTCATTTCTATAGTTTATTCATGCAAAGCATCAACAGAGAGAACAGGCACCAGTTTATCTCAGGGAAGTTTATTGCTTTCTCACTGGCTACAAGAGGAAGAGAGATATTTAAAGGAAAAATGGCCCTTTCCAACTTTCTGGCAACCCTTTTCCCAAACTAAGAGTTCATAATTTTTTTCCACAAAGGTTGTACCAGGGTGCTGCTTTACCAACAAAAATCATCAACCAATTTCTTTACTGAACAACAACTCTTAAGTTATTTATTATAGTTTTATTGAAAAGTGCTTTGCAGGACTTTCTACATGAAAATCAATGTGGTTTGGATTTGAAGATTAAGAAAGACATGGATTAAGTGAGGATCTGAAGGAACTTGTATAAAATCCAAGCGGAAGGAAGAGCAATACGTTTGTAATTATCTGTTGAAAATGTCAGAAGTCACATTTCTTAACTTTAGGTTTTTTTTCTCTTTTCTGTTTTTGCACTTCCTTATTTCCTTCTTTTAATTTGTATTTAATTCTATGAAAAAATATCTTAATAAATATAAATTAAAAAAAGAAAAAGAAAAGAAAAAAATGGTGAGCAAAAAAAACCAGAGATAAAAGAGCAGGAAAGTAATATTCCAAAAAGTAAACAAGGTCATTCCATAAATATGTGAGTTATAGCAATTCATCCAAACAATTGCTTCCCTATAGAAGTTTGCCTTGCATACTCAATGAAAATGAAGTTTGTCCAGGTAGGTACCTTTAGGGGATAATCCCATAAACTCTTTCAGAATATAAAATCCCATTCAATTTCTTGTGGCTGTTGTCCAATTAGACCTGCAGAGAACTGCAGTCATTTAATTATTGTTTAGGTTTATATTTGAAGTACTAATTTGTGAAGTGATCCGAAAACAATCAAACCTGGTTAATAAATGTGCAAAAGGACCTTTTGTCCTTCTGTATAACACATCCAATCTGAGGAAGGCCTCTATCCAACTCAAAACTCAAAATTTAGCACTTTAGGGATTAATTATATTTTCTCATCATTTGGAAACGGGGTTATATTGTGATCGATCTATGTTCTGTATCTGGGTGGTAACACAATTCAACATTTGTGTGGCTGCAGTTACTCTACAACATCTGAAGAATTAGCCGCCCCATAAAATATCCTCCGTTAATTATTGACACATGTGCAAACAGAATTTGAAGTAGCAAACTAGTTTATCACTTTTGAAGAAAGGAGAGAGAAAGGTCTCACTTGGAACAATCAATCCAAGTCCTGCTCCTTGGGTGTTCATGTTCTGGCAGGTGGCTGCTTCAAACAGAAAAAACTGGTTCTGTAACAAGATCAAGTACATGCCTGCAATGCAGCAAAAATGAAGGTTTCTTCTTCTGTACAGTCTATTTCTTCCAGCAGAATTGCCCAGCGAGCTTGCTCATATAGCTGGTGGATCCGTACTGCATCATACTGCCAAGAGAAGCCATATCAGGTTACATTAGAAATAAACAGATTTTTGCCATAGGTGCAACAGTTAAGCAGCCTAATTACCTCCAGATACACAATCCTTTGAAACAAACTATGAAAGGGATCTCGGAGTCCTAGTGGACAATTACTTAAATATGAGCCAGCAGTGTGCTGCAGCTGCCAAAAAAGCCAACACAGTGCTGGGCTGCATTAACAGAGGGATAGAATCAAGATCACGTGAAGTATTAATACCACTTTACAATGCCTTGGTAAGGCCACACTTGGAATACTGCAACCAGTTTTGGTCACCACGATGTAAAAAAAATGTTGAGACTCTAGAAAGAGTATAGAGAAGAGCAACAAAGATGATTAGGGGACTGGAGGCTAAAGCATATAAGGAATGGTTGCTGGAATTGGGTATGTCTAGTTTAATGAAGAGAAGGACGAGGGGGGATATGATAGCAATGTTCCAATATCTCAGGGGCTGCCACAAAGAAGAGGGAGTCAAGCTATTTTCCAAAGTGCTTGAAGGCAGGACAAGAAGTAATGGATGGAAACTAATCAAGGAGAGACGCAACCTAGAACTAAGGAGAAACTTCCTGACAGAACAATTAACCAGTGGAACAATAAGCGGTGAATGCTCCAACACTGGAAGTTTTTAAGAAGAGACTGAACAGCCATTTGTCCGAAATGGTATAGGTTTCCTGCCTGAGCAGGGGGTTGGACTAGATGACCTCCAAGGTCTCTTCCAACATCATCATCATCATCATTATTATTACTCTGTCTCAGCAAAGAAGGACACACCATTGGAAGACCTGAAGGATGTGGTTGGGAACAGATCGCCCTGGAGAAAAAATGTGTGGTTGCCATCTTGATGGCACTCAGTCATGATGATCAAGATGGGGTAACTTTAGTTAACTAGAGAGCTGCACGTTTTGCACTGTATGTCAGCAGCTGCACTACAAAAATTAGTGGTGCCAGGCTCAGACTTTGGGGGAAGGTTTAATGGCTTTATTAGGCAAAATAGATAAGGAGTATTTTAGACAGCTGTAAGAGGAATGACACTGATATGTTCCAGTGTGGAACTGGAACAATGCTATACATATTAATGTCCAAGACAAACTGATAAAGAGAAAGTGATAATGTTGAAAAATGAGAAGGCTGCAGATACAGATTGAGTGTTAAAATACACATATGGTTTGCTCAGGGAGTAGCTATGCAACTTACTTAATGTCTGAAGAAAGTAGCAATACGAGATGATAAAAATGCCATTATTGTGGCAATATACAAACAAAAAGATAGTAAGAATTAAGGTAAAAACTAAAATGGATTCACTGTAATTTTATGCTAGGTAGTAGGGTACTTTGACCAGAGCTTTTGCTGTTCAGCAGATCAGTTAAGCAAAACATATGCTAAGATATAGGGAATGTTTTGCATAGATATGGAATTGAAGGTCGGCTGTTAAATTTGGTAAGAGGGGCATATGGTGGAAGTAAAATATGTGTAAGTATAAATGCTTTCAAGATTGTTCAAGATTGAGCAAGGATATATGATGACCTCTTTTCTGTGTAATGTATTTTTATGGCTAAATATATATGGAATATTTGTAATGATATTAGAGACATTTTGCTTGGGGACATGAATACAGTGAGCTGTTGGGAGAAATTAATCTTTAACAAAAGAAGCAAAAAAGACTGTAAGAGCATGCTTCTGCCTACTTAAATGGAATATGGAAATGAGTGGTGGGTCTGTCCAGAGAAACAAAGACATACTGTAAAGTTGAATACAGTAGGAATGAAGTATTTAAGAAATATTTAGTAATACAAGAAGTGATAGAATTAGGAATGAATGGGGGATGAGTAAATGTAGGCTTAATACAAAACTGAATAGCAAATACAGTATGAAAGAAATAAGTTCAGATGGTTTGGTTAAATAGAGAATGAATAAGTATCAAATCTCAAAGGAAGTATATAGAAGAAGAATAAGCTGGTTGAGTAGAAGCACAAAACAAAGTTGATAACATTGATAAGATTATGTAACAAAAGGCAATTTATGAAGTGGTACGTGTACAAAGATAAAACAAGGATAATTTGCAAGACAGGAAGATATGGAGAAGCATAGTAAAGTGTGATGGTGCAAAACTAGAGCGTGTGTTACTATTTTTTACTCCTTATCTGCACTCTGCAGAATGCTGTTTACCCTATAAGGGAGTAGAGAGTTGCACTACAGAGTGTTCATAGGTCAATTGCAATATATTTTAATAATTTTCTTTTTCAGAGAAAAATTTAGTGTACTCAGTGATATTTTAAAAAGTTATGGTTAAAATGAGTAAGTGTTGAAAAAATGTCAACAATTCAAACATTTAATATTATATAATAAATAGTACATGGGGTCTGACGTTTGGTACGCCCTATGTATGTGTCTGCATACCTCTGTACTGCTCTTGAAATAGTTATTGTTCAGTACTCTAGCAGTAAAATTGGATCTCACTGTACAAGATTAATCAACCTACTTAAACACAAATGTAGACTTTGCATTTAAAGAAGATAAAAGTCATTTTAATGTAAATCTATTACAGTACAGATAAGAGGATTGAATATCTGTAAAAGTATTAAGGAAAATTCTGAACCAATTCTACAGTATCATTACAATATAAAATTATATTAGAGGATGGTATACCAGTTGCATCCCTTCCTGGATTGGAAGGTCCTCCAGACAGTTATTCATGCTCTTTTCATCTCATAGCTTGACTGTTGCAAACCATCCTATTGGAGGTTGCCCAGAAGCTTTAACTGGTCCACAATGCAGCAGCTTGCCTTGGTATGCCTACGTGATACCCTGATTTGCAATCAGCACTGATTTCCAGTATGCTTCAAGGTGCTGGTTATGATCTATATAGTTCTGTATGGCATAGGCCCCCGTTATTTGAGGACTGCCTATCATCCATGATGTCTATTTGGTCAGTCAGGTGTGCTCTGGGTACCCTTAATTATACAGTGGCATTTTTCATGACCCAGGAAGTGTACCTGCCCTCTTAAATATTCCTACTTTGATAGTATCCTGGAAGGCTTTAAAAACTGGCTATTCTCCTAGGTCTTAGGTGGGGTGGAGCTTGTTGTATGTATTGGGCATGTGTTTGTACTCAGTGGAGTTTTGTGAATGAATATTTCATCTATTCATTTGTTTCTACTCTATTTCTATTTTGTTCTTTTATTTTGTGAACACCCTAAGTCAGCCTGGAGTTGCTTGATCCCAAAATCAAATAGATAAGTCAAACTAAAGAGAATATTCAACAAAAATCATTACACTACTTCATTTTACTTATGTTAAAATAGAACTGATATAGTATTACTGCATCAGATCTATAAGCTGTGGTTTGACCACATTCAGTTGTGAATATAAAATGAAACCCTTAATGGCAGTAGCACTTACACTTATATACCGCTTCACAGTGCTCTGCAGCCCTCTCTAAGCTGTTTATAGAGTCAGCATATTTCCCCCCCAACAATCTGGGTCCTCATTTTACCGACCTCAGAAGGATGGAAGGCTGAGTCAACCTTGAGCCGGTGAGAATCGAACTGCCGAACTACTGGCAGTCGGCAGTCAGCAGAAGTAGCTTGCAATACTGCATTCTAACCACTGTGCCACCAGGGAAACTTGCTTTTTAATTGACATATTGGAAATCTTAAAGAACTCCTTACTTTTGCATTCAAATCAAAGAAATCATAGTATTTAAAACGGAGTAGAAGTTGATCGTCCTTCTGGATATCTTGTTCCATAAGTGATCGAGATGAATCTAACCAGCTGAAAGGAAGAGAACACAAATTCCACAGAAAGAAAAATGTCAAGTTGCAAAAAAAGAAAAGAAAAAAAGGACAAGATATCACAAATATAAGGGGGAATGAGAAATATAGGATTTAGTAAATGCAGTCATAGTAAGGAAGCCTGAAATATATTTCTACACACTGTAATGCTCCTGCCTATTACTAGATGTTACCCCTGACAGTGTTAGCCTCAATAAACTCCCTTTTTATATCTTGTAGTCCCTTAAAGTGTTAGCTTCAATAAGGTTGGGACAACATTTAGCAGAAGTAGAGGTAGCTGTATAGTTTTTCAATTTTAACAAATGAACAAACTTAGAAATTACAAATCCGATGTATATAAAAGGAAAATACGTGTGCTTTGAAAAAACAATTGTGTTTGAGAAGAGAGAAATCCAGTTATGAACAATCAAAAGTGCAAAGAGGAATTTGAGTCTTTTTTTATTCCTAACAGAATATGTCAAGGTGTTACTTTTCATTCGTCCCAAATCTTCATATTCTTGTTTCTAAGAAAATTCTAAATTATACTTGGGAAATATACTTATCCCTATACTTATCAACTTGGGAAGTTGCTCAAGTTTCAGAGAAAAGTGCCAGATAACCTGATTAATACTTTGTGTATGGACACACACCACACATAATCATCATTGCCTTGGCTTGTCAAAATGGTCTAATGCTAGTATTCAAAGAGAAAGATTCCTCACCCAGAATTCAGATTGGCTTTGTCGACCAATGTCCGAGGCTGATACATTTTGGCGAGTGTCTCTGGTGCACAGTTAGGATGGCTAAAAGCAAGGGTGCTCCAGCTCTGTTGTGCCAAGGGGCTGTCACTGAACCATGCAATGGTGGAAGGGAGCGGTGAACCAGTAATGGGATCATAAGTCGGGGTCATGGTCTTGCTATATAAGCCAGGACTGGCTGAAATAGTGAGAACAGAAAATAAAACTATCAGTTTATAACATCCCTGAATGTCAAAAGAGATGATTTTCTAATATAAACTACCTATGTGTCTTTGAAAAACAGCTCTTTGGGACTCCATTTAATAGTTTTACAGGCAGCTTTCAATAGAAAACTAAATTCCAACAATGTCTATGGAGATTCTCAGTCATCCAGGTCATAGTTATCCCAAATATGCTTTTTCACCAGGCAACTGGACTTTGTTGTTTTTCTTTTGAAGACGTTTTGATTCTCATCCAAAAAGCTTCTACAGCTCAGAGCTGAAGAAGCTTCCTTTGGAGGAGAAGCGAAACGTCTTCAAAGAAAAACAAGAAAATCCAGGTGCCTTGTGAAAAAGCATCTTTGGGAAAATTCCAGCAATCTTATATCTGTAAGGATAATTGTGCTTGCTCAAAAAAAAAAAAATAGTTAAATGTACTTTTAGTTTTCTAACTTCAGATGCACTTAGGTTTGGAATATTATGCCACTGTTATAATTCATAGTATCTCTTTCTTTAATTTCCTGATTCCTGCCATAACAGTTTTTTTTAAGTATGTAAGTATCAATAACCATAATTATTCTATAGATGGTACTGTGCCAGACCTGAATTGAATGGCCCTCAGGTTTTTTTAAGTCTTTCCATAGCCTAGAAAAAAGGGAGAATGCTCCCAAGTGGGTACACGGAAAGAATAATGCTTAAATCTTTCACAGTGCAGAACAGGGGTGTCCAACCTTATCAATTTTAAGACTTGTGGACTTCGACTCCCAGAATTCCCCAGCCAGTCATGTCAGCCAGTTGAAGTCCACAAGTCTAATGTCATGGTTCCGATAGATGAGACCAGTAGAAATAAGAACTCTGAGGCATTTACTTTCCTCAAAGAGCAATTTTAATGGCTACATAATATCAGCATGAACAAAGGTGAAACCAAGACTGAAAGTTTCCCCCCCAAAAAGATTACAAAGTAAAAGTTGAACTCCCCACCCTTATGTGTGTCATAAATCACAATCCCCAATTAACAACTTTGGTGGGCTCTCTAATGGTAGCTCCAGTCTGCCAAACACTTAGGCTGCTTGATCTTGGTTCCCACAAGAAAGTTATTGTTATGACTAAACTAGAAGAATGCATCTCCCCCCTCGCATTGCTATGGCAACCGAAAAACAAAAAAAGATGGCTGCAGCCAAAGTTATTTGAAGGTTTGACATCTTAAAGTTGTCAAGGTTGGACAACCCTAATGCAGAATAAGTTTAATAATAAGTCACGCAGTTGAAGTATACATATCAGTGAGCTCCATCCAAATACTGGATAGCCATTAGATGGGAAGCAAAGACTTCCTGCTGGCTAGTGATCCTCTGGACTTTTGCCGGTCACATAAGCGGTGCCTACCAGCAATGTAGAAAGAAAATTACATATGCAGTAGGAGTTGGTGTGGTTTAAACTGGTATTTCTCGTGAACACCAAGTCTTTTAAAAAAGCTGTAACCAATGAAGAACTGTTTCACTTTCCTAGCCTACAAAAAACATTCTTGCGTGTCATTGTCAAAACTTAATACTTATCCCTAAAAATGTGTAACTGAAGTGAATACTTCTTCCTGAAGGCAGCATTTCCAATCCCCAATAATCCCTATCATTCTGAGTCAGTCCAGCCAAAGTTAAAAACTAGCTATAGAGTAACAAACTCAAAGGTTTCTTTAACCTATTAATTACATGGCCTTTTTTTCCCTTACTTTTGGAAGTTCAATGCATAGAGAAGGCAGCCAATAAATAAGCAGAATTGATAAAATCAGTATTGTCTATTGCATGGTTACCTGGCAATCCCAAACTCACTGGAGAATTGTGCAGGTTTAAAACATCTTCTATGACTGGTTCTTTGTTTTTGTCCTTCTCTCTGTCTTTTCTTTTTTTCTTTTTTGTCTCATTGGTTGGCTTCAGCAGAGACAGTTCTTCTGATCGCCTAATACCTGCAACACAGTTGAAAATATCAATAGGCTGGAAGACCCATGGGTTCTATCATCCAAGAGAATCCATCAATTTGACACATCACATTCTTTTGCCCTCCTGGATTGTTAAAGGGCCAAAAAGATGACTCATGATTGGGCCCATACCATGGTTATTAGTTTCTTTGAGAAAATGAGTTTTTCCTGCCTTGAAAGAAATGGTGATGTGTCTTCTCAAGATGCCATCTTTGGAGCCAATGGTTTTTGACAACTACCATCAGTCTCCAACCATCCGTTTTGGGGGAAAGTAGTTGAAAAGGTGGTGAGAACCCTAAGGGAAACAGATTATGAAGGCGAATTTCAGTTGGGTTTCAGACCAGGGTTTAGTACCGAAACAGCCTTAATCATGTCAGAATAGCAATGGTGCATCCATCCTAGTGCTTCTTGATCTGTCAGTGGCTTTCAGTAAAGTGGACCATGGTATCCTTGTGAGTCGGCACCAAGGGTTGTGGATCTTTCTCCGGGGCCAGCTGCAGTTGAAGTTAGTTGGGGGGTATTTGCTTCTGGGTGAAATTCAAGGTGCTGATTACCTGTAAAGTCCTACATGACATTGGCCTGGTTAATTGAGGGACCTCATATCTCCCATAATATCTGCCTAGATAATTCTATCCTGTAGTATTATCCAACTCTCTTGAGTTCCTTTGATTAAATAACATCATATCTTAAAAACTCAGAAGTGTGCCTGCTCTATAGCAGTACCTGCCTTCTGAACAAGATTCCTCCTGAGATCTGGATGCCCCCCGTGTTGTTTAGAAGAACTGTGAAGACTGGGCTTTTTGCTCAAGTCTTCTTTGCAGAAAGATATTGAGATTGCTTACTTTGTGTGTGTGTGTGTGTGTGTGTGTGTGTGTGTTTTATTGTAATTTCTTTTAATTTTGTGAGCAGCCCAGAATCTTTAAGTGGCATAGTAATAATAATAATAATAATAATAATAATAATAATAATAATAATAATAATAATAAAACTGGTGGGATCATAAAATAGAGAAAGTCATAGAAAATGATAAAATTAAACTGCTCTGGGACTTCAGAATTCAAACAGACAAGCACCTGCAACATAACACCTCAGACTTAACAATTGTTGATAAGAAAGACAAAAAAGTCTGGATAGTGGACGTGGCAGTGCCTGGAGACAGCAGAATAGAAGAGAAAGAATTGGAGAAGATAACAAAATACAAAGACCTACAAATAGAAATAGAAGACTGTGGCAAAAGCAAGCAAGGGTAGTACCAATAGTAATAGGCTCCTTGGGTGCAATCCCAAAACAACTGGAGCACCACTTGAACACCATTGGCATTGACAAATTCGCTATTAGTCAATTGCAAAAGGCGGCCTTACTAGGAACTGCTTCCATCCTGTGACAATATCTGTAATACCATCAAATATCCACATCTGCCTATCCCAGGTCCTGGGTAAGGACTCGATAGGTAGACAAAATGCCAAATCCAGTCTGAACATCTGGCTGACTGTGCGATGATCCATGATAATGATAATGATGATGACAGTAGTAGTATCAACACTGGCGTTGACAAAATCATTTACTTGGAAACATTTACATCCTGCAATAATATCTTTAATATTATTAAATAACATCTGCCTCTCCTGAGTCCTTGAGAAGGACTTGCTAGATGGGCAAAAATGCCAAGCCAGTCTGAACATGTGGCTGGCGATGTGACCAACTATAATAATAATTTTGCAAAGTAGAACTAGGCAAACCTCCTTCACCACCAAAGGAATTTCTCTGCTTTTAAATCAGCTATGGGGTTAATTTTTAATATATGGAACAGAGAAGAATATTACCTTTCCATTAAAGTATTTTGTTTCAAAAAGGTGGCTAGGACAAGAAGCAGAGAAACAGGATTATGGAGTAGGCAAATAAAACATTAGTGATTACTGGAAGTGCACCTGCTTTCGCTTTAACTTTATTCTGTGAAAACATTTAAACCCCACTTTCCAGCTAGAAAGGAGACAATGAATAAAAGAAGACAGCATTAGTCCTACAGTCTATAAGCATAAGAAGACTTTACAGCAAGAGGGGGAAAAATGGGCAGGGAGTGAAAAGGAAGACAACCAGGAACCAATTCTTAATGTTAAACCACTTATCTAATGATAAGTAACAATGGAAGCAGGCGGATCTAATTCAAACACCAGGTTTGAGGAGAATCAAACATATAGTCTAGAGGTGACCTTCCTTGAAAGAATTCTAATGAAGCTAGAAATTGTTGCTCTTGGTTTCCTCTGAGAGGAAAAAGGTTCCACCTAGCCCAACTGATAAAAGCAGCAGAAAGGAGATGATCCAGTATTAATCTCCACCACACAACACTCTCCTTACGTTAGTGACCTAAAACTGACCCCAAACTTAGATTAGATTTAGATAACCTTTATTGTCATTTTTTACTGTGAGCACACTGGCCCACATTAAAAATGAAATTCTGTTGCTTGCTCTCAAAAGAAAGTGTGTATCTACCCATATGTATATATAACACACATATATATATGCTATTATACGTACATATATATACATGTTTTCTGAGGTTTTCGCGGGTATTTGTATGTAGGTTCTTTGGTTGTTCGGGTTTTCTCCCGCGTAAAATTGGAAGTGTCTTGGCGACGTTTCGACGAAGTCCCATTCGTCATCTTCAGGCTGGTGTTTTCAGCTTCGTGCTTTGAGCAGCAATGTGTCGTCTTAGCTGTTTCTTCCTTTTAACTGCCAGTGGGGGTATGAACTGATTGGGTGGGAGCTTGGCTGTGTTCTGATTGGGTGGAGGTGTGTTCTGAATGGTTAGGGGCTTGGCTGTGCTCTGATTGGCGGGGGAGTGTTCTGTTTGGTTGTGCTCAGGTTAGTCTGAGTTGCAGAGGGGTTTGAGATTTTGGGCTGCCTTCCTATTTTTTGGCTTCGCGTTCGTGGTCGTGCTTCTTCTTCATGGAGGGTGTCAGTTTGCTTCATGTATGGATTGGAGGGGTTTAAAGTGGCTAATGATGCAGCTGTGGTCTGGCTTCTGGTTTGTGGTCGTGCCTCGTCATCGGTGTGGCTTTGGGTTTGTTTTTTGCGTGGATGTGTGGTGGTGACCTCCTGTGTGGTTTTTGTGAGTGTGGGTCTGGTATCATTTTTTGTGTTAGGGAGTCGTTTGTCAATAAGGGCGGGTTTCCAAATGGCTGGTAGGCGGGAGGTATCATCTCGCTTGTTCATGCTGTGTGGGCGTTTTTCTATCTCGATGGCTTCTCTGATTATTCTGTTATTAAAATGTTCACTTTTGGCAATGGTTCTGGTATTTTTAAAGTCAATTTCATGTCCTGTGGCTTTAAGGTGTTGGACCAGGGAAGATGTTGGTTCCTCTTTTTTGACTGAGTTCTTATGTTCTTCTCTGCAACTCAGACTAACCTGAGCACAACCAAACAGAACACACCTCCACCCAATCAGAACACAGCCAAGCTCCCACCCAATCAGTTCATACCCCCACTGGCAGTTAAAAGGAAGAAACAGCTAAGACCACACATTGCTGCTCGAAGCACGAAGCTGAAAACACCAGCCTGAAGATGACGAATGGGACTTCGTCGAAACGTCGCCAAGACACTTCCAATTTTACGCGGGAGAAAACCCGAACAACCAAAGTCTACATACAAATACCCGCGAAAACCTCAGAAAACAAATATCAAACCTCTACGGGGAGGAAATCCACCATCTGACCAGGACCTATGAAAAACTTGAAGTCCAAAGAGCTTCCATTTTATGCGACCTCGCATTCCTACGCAACTGCCGAGATCAAAATCTAATCCCCACATGTTTCCAACTGAAATTCCACTCCAACTCTGCAGCCACCAAACGGATCCTGAAAAGAACAGAACTGGCCCTAATCAGAAATGAACTTCACACAAAAAGATTCCTCCTAGACCGAATTAACAAAGATCTCCTCACACTCCACCTCAAACTCAGCAACAAGATCCACCCCGCACTTTGGGACAAATCCAAACAACTCGCCATCTGGAGAGCCGAAACACAGACCACCCTCAAGACAGATACACACACCAACAAACTCCGAAGACTACAAGAACGCCAGAAACAAACCCCTCCTCCCTCACAGCCACACATGAAACAAACAGTGCATAACATCTCAGATAGGATCCTCACCAAAGCCGAAACCAATGTCCTTTCCAAAGGATTCAACTTTGCAGTCGCTCCCAAACACATCCCCACTGAAACCATTATATGTGGAGTTGAAACCAGCCTGACCAAAATCAACCCCGACGACGCTAACAGAATCAGACTCGAAATCACCAACATCCTCTGCACCAGCAAGCCACCCAAAAGCAACTTACCCAAAGAGGAACAGACAGCACTACGTAACCTGAAAGAAGACACCAGCATAATAATCCTACCAGCAGACAAGGGCAACGCCACGGTGGTTATGAACACATCTGACTACCAAACCAAATTAACCAACCTACTCCAAGACTCCACATACAAACCCCTAAATACAGATCCCACCACCTACCTGGAAAAAACCACCAGATCCAAAATAAAAGCCTCCCCCATTAGCGAAGAGATCCAGCAAAGAATCATTCCCAGAGAGAAATCATCCAGATGCCCAAACTCTATGGTCTCCCCAAGATACACAAAGAAGGAACCCCACTCAGACCTATAGTCAGCTCCATAGGCTCACCTCTACAAAACCTAGCCAAATTTCTCGCCAAACAACTACAGCCCTATGCAGAATCCATCACCTCACACGTAAAAAACTCATTCCAGTTTATAGAGATCATAAAGAAACAAAGCTTACAGCCCAGCGACCTACTAGTGAGCTTCGATGTCATATCCCTCTTCACCCAAGTGCCTATCAAAGAAGCCTTGACAGCTATTCAAAACAAATATAACCCCCCCAAACACATCTTAGATCTGACCAACCACTGCCTATCCAACACATACTTCATCTATAATGGACAAAAATACAAACAAACAGAAGGAGC